TACGAAGAACCAGTTCTCACTAGATGCTGAGTTCGGCTGGCACCTTGATTTTGGACAGTCTCCAGAACTATTAGCAGTAAGTTTCTGTTGTTTATAAATTACCCAGTCTAAGGTATTTTGTTACAGCAGCCCAAGCAAATAGGGAGATTTGGCCTTTTCTGGTGATAAAATTAATCTGTGGTGCATCTTGATGTACATTTCCAATCATTTCTCTATGCATGATTTTCGCGGTTGAAAATTATCAATTGTAGGCCAGGTGCGGTGGCTCAAGCCTGTAATCCCAGCACTTCGGGAGGCCGAGGCGGGTGGATCACGAGGTCAAGAGATCAAGACCATCCTGGTCAACATGGTGAAACCCCGTCTCTACTAAAAATACAAAACATTAGCTGGGCATGGTGGCGCGTGCCTGTAATCCCAGCTATTCAGGAGGTTGAGGCAGGAGAATTGCCTGAACCCAGGAGGCGGAGGTTGCGGTGAGCCGAGATCGCGCCATTGCACTCCAGCCTGGGTAACGAGTGAAACTCCGTCTTCGAAAAAAAAAAAAGAAAGAAAATTATCAATTGTGGCCAGGCACAGTGGCTCACACCTGTAATCCCAGCATTTTGAGAGGCCAAGGCAGGCGGATCACCTGAGGTTAGGCGTTCAAAACCAGCCTGGCCAACATGGTGAAACCCCATCTCTACTAAAAATACAAAAATTAGCTGGGCATGGTGGTGAGTGCCTGTAATCCTGAGCAACAGAGTGAGACTCCACCTAAAATAAATAAATAAATAAAATAACAATTGTATAGACAGTTGTATATCTTGTTTTGCTTATTCAACATTATTATATAATCATTCCTACTCTTAAATGTAACTATTAATAGCTGCAAAATATCCACTGTTAATGTACCACAATTGTCTTTACCCATTCGCTTGTGATTGTAAACTGCATTTAATTTTTTTTCTATTTTTTTAGTTCAGGTTTTTTTGGCAATTCATGTTTTCATTATTGTAAATAATGCTATTATAAACATTTTTATGCATTAATCTTTTGTGTGAAATGAGACTCACATAGGAATTGTGAAAATATGACTGGGCATTTAAAAAATGTACTGGAGTAGAAATTGTGAACTTGTGACCTGAAAGTGATACATCGTGCTTAAACTGACTATATATATTTTTAATGGGATCTTGCTCTGTTGCCCAGGCTGGAGTATAGTGGCACAATCATAGCTCATTGTAGCCTTGAACTCCTGGGCTAACAGTGATCCTCCTACCTCAGCTTCCCCAGCCACTGGGATTACAGGTGTGAACTATTGCAACTGGTTAAATTGACTGTATTTTTTTTAAGCATGAGCATTTATCTATAGCACTATGAGGGGTGGACTCCTTGCTCCAGAACAATTGGGCATATGTCCAGTAGCCTGGACAGGGAAAGACATTGGGGGTGGGGGAGAACAGGAATGTTTAGAGGTTCAGTGGTGATCTGTGCCTGACAGCCTCTGCTCTGTGACGCTGAAATACAGGAATCTCTGCAAGATACTTTGTAAACATTATTCTTTCCCATATTCCAATTAAATGATACTTTCCATAAAGGTGGATTGGCCTTAGACCTCCATGCACCTTTCATCCTCTGCAGTTATCACAGGACTGTATGGTTGTAGGAGCTGGGAACTCAAGACAGGCAGGTTAGCCGGGCGCGGTGGCTCAAGCCTGTAATCCCAGCACTTTGGGAGGCTGAGGCGGGTGGATCACGAGGTCAAGAGATCGAGACCATCCTGGTCAACATGGTGAAACCCCGTCTCTACTCAAAATACAAAAAAAAAAATTAGCTGGGCATGGTGGCTCGTGCCTGTAATCCCAGCTACTCAGGAGGCTGAGGCAGGAGAATTGCTTGAACCCAGGAGGCGGAGGTTGCGGTGAGCCGAGATCGCGCCATTGCACTCCAGCCTGGGTAACAAGAGCGAAACTCTGTCTCAAAAAAAAAAAAAAAAAAAAAAAAGACAGGCAGGTTCAGGCCAGGAGACCAGGCTCTGGCCTGGGTGGGAGTAATCTCCTAGCTTGGCACCCAGGAGTTTCAAAGCACAAGCCTCTTAGGTCACACTTTCTAACACAGCTGTTAGAATACACACCCTGTAAACAGGAAATGCCTTAGGAAGTACAATTGAGTACTTTTTATTTTTTAAGAAATGACTTAAAAGCCCGAGCAGAGGGTGATGTTTATCTGGCATTACAGTTAACAAGCTAGAGATGCTCCCTGACTGTCCTGGTTTTATGTTCTAGGCAATTGTGTGCCCACTGCTGCCTAACCGGAGCTTAAATATTCCCAAATTAATCTATAACTCATTTTGCTTATAAAATGAATGTCTCAGTCAAGGGAGTTGTAAGTTACATAGCTTGTTTTTGCTGTCAGAGGAAAGGAAAAGATTTACTGAATCCTAAACCAATACTTAGACACCTCTGTGCTTGGAACATGAAAATTTTAGCACTGGGCAAAAGAAAAAAATGTGTAAATCAGAGGACAGGAAGGCTCCATTATTTGATTAGCTTCAGGAAAGGCTAAAATTAAGAGCGGCTAACTTCTAGAAAAGACTTAGCTGCATGGATGCAGTGGAATTTCTCCACCCCTTGTGATCCACCTCTGCCCCTGCCCTGCTGTGTACCCTTTACTTCAGTCACACAGCCTCACCAAATGGCTGTTTATACCTCAGGGCCTTTTCATGCGCTCCATAATATCTGGAATGCCCGATCCTTTTCCCCTTTCTTTTCTTTTCTTTTTTTTCTTTTTTTTTTGAGACGGAGTTTCGCTCGTTACCCAGGCTGGAGTGCAATGGCGCGATCTCGGCTCACCGCAACCTCCGCCTCCTGGGCTCAGGCAATTCTCCTGCCTCAACCTCCTGAGCAGCTAGGATTACAGGCACGCGCCACCACGCCCAGCTAGTGGTTTTTTTTTTTTTTTTTTTTTGTATTTTTAGTAGAGACGGGGTTTCACCATGTTGACCAGGATGGTCTCGATCTCTCGACCTCGTGATCCACCTGCCTCGGCCTCCCAAAGTGCTGGGATTACAGGCTTGAGCCACCGCGCCCGCCCTCCCCTTTCTTTGTTTGGCGAAGTCCTGCTCATCGTTCAAGGCTGAGATGTCACTTGATTTGGTTATTGCATGAAGACAGCATAATACAGTAGAAACAACTTAGACTTTAGGGGGAGAGTTAACTGGGTTGAAATCTTCATTCCATTTCTCACTAGATGAAATCTTGGACAAGTTCATTTGACCTCTGTTTCCTCCCGAGTCAACGGAGCTAATATCTCAGCTGGCGTGTGGTGTATATTAAGTCACACAACTAAATAAAGTGCTTGATAAAAGCATATTTAAAGTGCTTATATAAAGTAGACACTCAATGAAAGTCAATTTTCTTTCTCTATTTCCATCTTCCAAGCCTTCCCTGAATTCTCTAGGGAGCATCATTTTATTCAAAACTTAGAGTGTGAGCTTGCATCTTATCTCTGAGTCTACAGTACCTACATAGTATTCAAATTCTTCATGCCATTCTTAAGCTATAGGGTTTCCAGATGAAAAAGAGGGTTTCCAGCCCGGGCACGGTGGCTCAAGCCTGTAATCCCAGCACTTTGGGAGGCCGAGGCGGGTGGATCACGAGGTCAAGAGATCGAGACCATCCTGGTCAACATGGTGAAACCCTGTCTCTACTAAAAATACAAAAAAAAAATTAGTTGGGCATGGTGGCGTGTGCCTGTAATCCCAGCTACTCAGGAGGCTGAGGCAGGAGAATTGCCTGAACCCAGGAGGCGGAGGTTGCGGTGAGCCGAGATCGCGCCATTGCACTCCAGCCTGGGTAACAAGAGTGAAACTCTGTCTCAAAAAAAAAAAAAAAAAAAAAAAAAGAAAAGAAAAGAAAAGAGGGTTTCCAGAATGGAATCTATTTATGGAATTTAAAATTCATTAATTTATTTAGCAAATATTTATTGAGTTATATCATTTGGAAGCTAATCCTATCACTTGTGTTCTTGGTCTGTTTTTTCTTCCTTTAGAATAAGGTTTCCTGACCTCCACATTGCTGACATTGGCCAGATAATTCTTTGCTGTGCGGGCCTGTGCTGTACATCGAAGGATATTTAGCAACATCCCTGGCCTCTACCTACTAGCTGCTGGTAACAACTCCTTTAACCCAGTTGTAAGGACCACAAATGTTTCCAGACATTGAATGTCCCTGGTCGAGAAAAACTGCTGTAGAACTTCCCACCCTTAGTTATTCCCTCTCTCGAGTCTTCCTGTTCAGCATCTGTTGGCTCCTTTCCAACATAAAAATATGCTATTTTCTCCAGTCTTTAAAAGCAAAGCAAAGCAATCAACCACAAAACTCTCTGCCATCATAGTCAAGCTCTCTAAAAGTACAGCCTGCGTTTACTGTCACTTTCCGTCCATTCTTCCACCTGCTCCAGTGAGGCTCCCCGCACCCCACTTCATAAAGGGCTCTGGCAAAGCTCCTACTGAGAAGTGGCAAAACCCTTTTTGCAGTGTTCACCTCAACTGGCCTGTGTGACGTTTGACAGTTGGTGAGTTCCAGGCTCTTTCTTTGGTGGTTCTTCTTGGACCCTCCTTCACAGGCCCTAGTGGTGTCTCCTTTGCTCTGCCTCTTAAATTCTGGCATTCCATAAGGCTCTGTTCTTGGTCTTCTCTCTTCTGTCTTTCTGGGGCACATTCACTTGTTCTCACGGCTTTAAATCTAATGTAAATGCCAATTCCAGCAGGGTGCCGTGGCTCATGCTTGTAATCCCAGTACTTTGAGAGGCCGAGGCACATGGATCATGAGGTCAAGAGATCGAGACCATCCTGGCCAACATGGTGAAACGCCATCTCTACTGAAAATACAAAAATTAGCTGGGCGTGGTGGCGCCCGCTTGTAGTCCCAGCTATGCTACTCTGGAGGCTGAGGCAGGAGAATCACTTGAACCCAGAGGTGGAGGTTGCAGTGAGCCGAGATGGCGCCACTGCACTCCAGCTTGGCGACAGAGCGAGACTCCATCTCAAAAAAAAAAAAAGCCAATTCCAAAGTTTTCCATTCTAGTCCACATTTCTCTTTTAAGTACTAAACCTATACATCCACATGTGTGCCTTCCAACCTTCTCAAAGAGAACTTGTTATGCTCATCTCATCTTCCCAAAGTTGCTTCTTCTCCTGCCTTCCCACGCTCTATCTCGGCTACCCGTGGAGCACAGTGAGAGCATCAGGCCCTGCCGATGTAAATATCTGGCAATTTTGTAAAGATGTTTCCTTAGTTTACCTAATACAAACAGTCTCTGACTTACCATAATTGTTCAACTCTAAGTATGGTGTAAAAGCAATATACATTCAGCAGAAACCATACTTTGAGTGCCTGTACAACTATTCTGTTTTTCACTTATAGTTCAGTATTCAATAAATTACAGGAAGCTGGGCGTGGTGACTCACACTTGTAATCCCAGCACTTTGGGAGACCCAGGAGGGTGAATAACCTGACGTCAGGATTTTGAGACAAGCCTGGTCAACATGGCAAAACCCTAACTCTACTAAAAATACAAAAAAATTGGGCCGGGCGCGGTGGCTCACTCCTGTAATCCCAGCACTTTAGGAGGCCGAGGCGGGTGGATCACAAGGTCAAGAGATCGAGACCATCCTGGTCAACGTGGTGAAACCCCGTCTCTACTAAATATACAAAAAATTAGCTGGGCATGGTGGTGCGTGCCTGTAATCCCAGCTACTCAGGAGGCTGAGGCAGGAGAATTGCCTGAACCCAGGAGGCGGAGGTTGCGGTGAGCCGAGATCGTGCCATTGCACTCCAGCCTGGGTAACAAGAGCGAAACTCCGTCTCAAAAAAAAAAAAAAAATACAAAAAAATTAGCTGGGCGTGTTGGTGTACACCTGTAATTCCAGCTACTCGGAAGGCTGAGGCAACAGAATCACTTGCTGTGAGCTGAGATTACACCATTGCACTCCAGCCTGAGCGACAAAGTGGGACTCCATCTCAGAAAATAAATAAATACATTGCAGGAGATATTCAATAATTTATTATAAAATAGGCTTGGTGTTAGATGATTTTACTCAATGGTAAGCTAATATATGTGTTATGAGTATGTCTAAGGTAGGCTAGGCTAAGTTACGAGTTCAGTAGGTTAGGTGTATTAAATCCGTTTTTGACTTAGGTGATATTTTCATCTTACAAGAATGTGACCTCATCATAAGTTGAGCAGACTCTGCAGTTCAAGGCTGAGTTTATTCTTCTCCTTCCCTAGACCCTCTTCAAAACCCTCTGGCTGTGGGCCCCCATGGAGCAGCCAAACTCAGTGTTACGCTAAATGATATAAACTTCATAAAGTGCCTAGTACATAGTAGGTGCTGAGTACGTCGGCCCCCCTTCCCTGTGTGATATAATGTCACATATCTTTGGTCTTTTTTCCTGGTTCCTGTCATAGCTTCTAAAACCACTGGAATTTCCTGGGTGATAAGAACATCTTTGTTATTCATAATGAGCTCCTTTAGTAACTCCAGAGTTTATGCTAATAAAGTGACTTAGGGTGGGGGCCCTAGTTCGTCTCAGGATAGGAACAGTCACCAGAAAGACCAAGCTATTAGAGGATTGGAACTTTAAAATCCTACCCTCCAACCTCCAAGAGAAGGAAGAAGGATGTTGCTGAACAATAAACTCTAGAATACTCAAACAAGAGTTGATGAGTTTTGGGACTGCTAAACACTAGGAGACGCCAGAAAGGTGGCTCATCTAGACACGGCATGGAAGCTCTGCAACCCTCACCCCCACCTGCCACGCCTTGTCCCATCCATCTCTTCATCTGGCTGTTTATCCATATTCTTTGTAACATCATTCGTAATAAAGTGGTAAAACAGTTGATAAGCTGGTAAATGTTTCCCTGAATTCTGTGAGCCATTCCAGCAAATTAACCAAACCCAAGCAGAAACTTGAGGGAATCTTAGTTTGTAGCCAGTTGGTGAAAAATAAAAGTGGCCTAGACTTGCAATTGGCCTCTGAAGTGAGGGCAGTTTTGTGGGACTGAGCCCTCAAACAGTGGGATCTGATGCTATCTCTAGGCAGATGGAATCAGAATTGGGTTCTAGGATACCCCGTGGGGGTCTGCTGGAAAATTGCTTGGTGTGTGGGGAAAGACACACATCTGGTCACAGAAGTGTTCTGTATTGAGTAAACAGGGAGCACGGAGAGTAGGAAAGAAAACAGTTTGGTTTTTTTCCCTTTACACTCTGTGATTCTCTCTGGAAAACTCACTCCAGTACATTACGAATTGGATATTGGTAGTGAGTTCATATGTAATTTTTTTCTTGTATTCTTTAAAAGTTTTTTTTTTTTCATTGAAAATAAATTGTTCCTTGCAACTAGAGAAAAAAGTTTCCTTATAACGCTTACACATATGCCTGACCAAACCACTCCCCTCTTATTGGCTTTTCATTGCCCTCACGGTCAAACCCAAACTGCTAAGCATGGCTTTCAAGATCCTCTGTGAGTTGACCTTGATCTAGCTGTGTAACCTTATCTCTTGCTCTACCTACCTCCACACACATCCCACACTCTGGCAACTTCAAACCTCTTCCAGGTCCCTGACAAGTCATGCTGTTGCCTGTTTCTTGGTATGGGTATTCATGCCCACAAATCCTCCCCTTCTACCCAGTGCCCACACACAAAACACACACTCTGGAATACCTGGCCAATTCTCATTTCTGAAAACTCAGTTCAAACACATCCACTCTTAATACTTTTCTTATTTAACTCTCCAAAGCAAAAGTAAACATGCTCTGCTTTTTCACTCCTTGTCCATTTAGACGTTTGCCAGAGCACCTAAGATACTCGACTGTGTTTATTTGCTGACTCATCCTGTCTCCCTCTAAGTGACTGTGGACTCCTTTAAATGCAAGGACTGTGTCTTTTAGTTGGCATACAGCAGATGCTCAATTAAATGTTCTCTAACAGAGAAGCAGTGTAGCAGACTTCAGGATGGGAGGAGGGGAGGGAAATAGACCCACAGCCCCGACTGCCTTTATAGGGCCTGACATTACTTCATGGAAACTAATGTAATTAAGTGGAATAAGGAGAGAAAAAAATTATAATAAAAGCCAAGTACTTCATATGCTTTATGTCTCATTAAATCCATGATATATACACTAGTTTTCAAATTTGGGAAATTGAGACTTCAGAAGGGTTAAGGATCTTGCCCAGGTGAAACAGCTAGCAAACCTCCAAAATCCAAGTTCCTAATCCAAACCCAATAATATATTTGATCCTACAGTTTCAATGAAGCCCTAAAAAATCTGTTTAGGGAGAAGTGACCATCAAGGATCATCTTGACCACTTAACATACAAGAAACTCAGGTTTCTACAAAAGAATACCCATATGTCTGCGGGGCGCGGTGGCTCATGCCTATAATCCCAGCACTTTGGGAGGCCGAGGCAGGTGGATCACGAGGTCAAGAGATCAAGACCATCCTGGTCAACATGGTGAAATCCTGTCTCTACTAAAAATACAAAGATTAGCTGGGCATGGTGGCACAGGCCTCTAGTCCTAGCTACTCGGGAGGCTGAGGCAGGAGAATTGCTTGAACCCAGGAGGTAGAGGTTGCTTTGAGCCGAGATCGCGCCATTGCACTCCATCCTGGGTAACAAGAGCGAAACTCTGTCTCAAAAAAAAAAAAAAAAAAAAAAAGAATACCCTTACGTCAGCTGGTTAACCTAAGTTTTCAGGGTCTGGAATTTCTGCTATTCTTTTTTTTTTTTTTTGAGACGGAGTTTTGCTCTTGTTACCCAGGCTGGAGTGCAATGGTGCGATCTCGGCTCACCGCAACCTCCGCCTCCTGGGTTCAAGCAATTCTCCTGCCTCAGCCTTCTGAGTACCTGGGATTACAGGCACGTGCCACCATGCCCAGCTAATTTTTTGTATTTTTTTAGTAGAGACGGGGTTTCACCATGTTGACCAGGATGGTCTCGATCTCTTGACCTCGTGATCCACCTGCCTCGGCCTCCCAAATTGCTGGGATTACAGGCCTGAGCCACCGCGCCCAGCCGAATTTCTGCTATTCTTTCTTGATTCATCCTCCGACTCCAGAAAAACCACTAAAAACATAAACATCTTCAAGTGTTTGGATCCCACATCTGATTGCCTCATGGAACTTCCTGAGTCTCAGAGGACAAGGTAAATCTGACCTGTGTGTGTTCAGGTACCTGGAAAGGACCACTTCTTGGAGCATAGTAAGAGCCCTGGTGATGCATACTCTGGATCTCTAGCGAAGATGTTCCTCTTCGGTAACTCAAGGCTGAGTTTGTTTTCCCTCTCCATACTCCCTCTCCCTAAAGCTCTGGCTGCAGGCCACATGGAGGCCTACCTCCTGGTAGCTTCGTTAATGACTTTAGAGTCTGATTGAGATCAGGTGGCCTCCAAGCTGGCACCAACACCCATTACACTCTCCAAAGATAAGGAAACCAAACATTAGCTAGCCGGAGCAAACAGTGCCATAAGCACACCCATACGTTTTCTTCCCTCCCCGCACCCTTCCAGAGGAGAAAATGCCACCCCTGTACTTACTTGGGTAGGGAAGTAAAGAACTAAATACAACTCAACTTGGGCTATTTAAGGTTCCTTTAACCCAGAGGGATTCTCCTACAGATAATGTTTTATTCTCCCCTGCTGAATCAAATGTCTTCCTTTCTTCCTGAGCACTTTAACTGCATTTTAACTCCATGGTCCTGGATTATTATATATATACTTAAGTGGCACTGCAGTCTCTAGTCATGATATATGATATAGGATCCAGTTTACTGAGTATTTTCTTTTCTTTTCTTTTCTTTTTTTTTTTCTGAGAAGGAGTTTCGCTCTTATTACCCAGGCTGGAGTGCAATGGTGCAATCTCGGCTCACCGCAACCTCCGCCTCCTGGGTTCAGGCAATTCTCCTGCCTCAGCCTCCTGAGTAGCTGGGATTACAGGAACACGCCACCATGCCCAGCTAATTTTTTGGTTTCACCATGTTGACCAGGATGGTCTC